ATGCTAAGATATCTGTATTAATGTTGTCAGTAGTTTTTGTGTTTCCAAGTAAGTCTTGGAAGTAATCCACCATAACTTGAGCAACCTTCTCATTCCCTTCAACAAACTGACCCTTAGAATTTTTAATGGTATTAATTTGGTTCTTGAGTCTTCTCTTCTTGATCCACGCATGAAACAGTCTAGTGTCCTTATCCCCTTCCAGTACCCACTCTTGTTTTATCTGTTGGAATTTCATTAATCTTGTTGCCCTCATTTTCCAGTTAAGTTCCCTGATTAGGTCCCTTTCCTTAGTAATAGGATATGTACTATCCATATTGTTTTTGATAGCTTTTTGTGTTTGATGGAGCTCTTCCCTAAGGACATTACACTGCAGGAAAATATTAGAGAATTTGTCCTTGTTTAGATGTCTCAGTTGCCCCTTTATTCCTTTAAGGTAGGTGACCAGTTTGTACATATATCTGCCTTGCACTTCCTTGCTCCAAGTCTCCTCCACTATTGTAGGGAAGGAGTGGTCTAGAGTCCACATGTCACAAAACTTGAAGGAGAAATTGCTTTTCATACTACAGTTTTTAATAATGAGAGGTGAATGGTCAGACAGACCTTCTACCTTAATAAGAACTTTAGTATCCATCTCATTGTACCATTCAATATTGGCAAGTGCTCTATCTATTTTGGAGAAGATTCTTCTGCCAAGCCCTTGCTTGTTTGACCAAGTGAATTTAGCTCCTTCTGCAGGTATCTCTTCCAACCCACACATCTGAACACACTGTTTGAACTCATGTGTCTCATCCCAAGTGACTGGGTTCCCTCTCACCCTATCATCCATCTCCAGCACACTATTAAAATCCCCAACAATGCACCAGGCTAGTGTATTTGAGTTAGCAATTCTTTCAATAGCTAACCATTGATCCCTCCTTTTAACTGGATCATTATGACCATAGATAAAAGTGATGAAGAAAACCTTTGGTTCTCCATCCACAATAACACATTTGCAATGCACCCATTGCTCACCAGCCTCCATAATATTAACTTTCAGCTTATTGGGCTTCCACAACACCCATATTTTTCCCAGTTGATGGTAGTCATTATTAATGTAGGAACTCCTCCCTTGGGCTATTTTACATACTTATGAAATTCTTCTCTCTGATTTTGGTTTCCAACAGTCCACAAATCAACATGTCATATTTTTTCAGGAATAAGATGACCTCATCCTGTTTATTAGGACTGTTAAGTCCTCTTACATTCCAAGATCCTATCATTTAAGAAAAGGGAGGTGTCCCTCATATGGGACCTTCTCAAACAACTTAGTAATTTCAGTCAGTAGATCTTCTTTCATATTACTTAACAGGATCCTTTTAGCAATTTTCTTGCCAATAAAACATTCTTGTCACATTTTATTTTATAAAAATTTTGATATAGGTTTTAAATATATAATTTGTGCTTTTTATGTCTATAACTATTAATAAATAAATAATACTCCCTCCGTCCGAAAAAACATGGGAGTTTTGGTTTTAGAAAGGGATTTAAAAATGTCCTTTGATGTGATGGGTAAAAGTATGATTTGATGGATGAATTATTAGTAAAAAGGTATGATGTGATAGGTAGGGTATGATGTGAAAGGAGAAAGGTTTTCTGGGACGGAGGAAGTATAATTTTTGTGTGCTTGAATGGTGCATCTAGCGATCTAGTTCCACAAAAATTAATTATTTTAAAATATAATTTTGTAATACTTCTGTGATCCAAATTAATTTTCTTGATTAGTTTTGGCACACACTTTTAAAAAATGAAATTGGGTGGTTGAAAGTAATGTAAATGAGAGAAAAATATGGCGAGTAAGTCGAGTAACAAAACATTTTCCAAAAAAAGAAATAATCGAAATATGAATTTTTTACGACATTTTGAAAAAGAAAAAAATAAAAGATTAATTTGAGAGAAAGGGATTTTAATAACTTTTTTCATTTTTCATTAATTAAAACAAAATCTTTATTTTTAAAAAGTTCAAAGACTTTTTAACGTACTTTACTGGAACGTTTCGTACTATATTTTTTTATCTTTCTAATAACTTAACATGTGATTCAAAAGCTTCTATATTTCTTTTCTAAATAAATTTCAATGTCACACTCTTCACTTTTACAAAAAAAAAAATCCTCTGTAACTAAGTTGAATGTTTTAGAGAAATTCAAAAAAGAAAAGTAGGAACTTTTGGTGGCATTTTTGAAAAATTTAGAGAGTTTAATATCATTATTAAAAGAAAAAGAGAGTGATACTTTTGACAAAATATAATACTCCCTTTGTTAATTATCTTTCTTTACAGAGTACTATTTTAATTTTATGGAAATTTTTATTTATTTGTGTTTTTTCATAACCTATATAATAAAATAAAATATTCTTGTCACTATTCTTGTCACTATTTGTTTTGTTGAACTTTTGATGGGTGGATGATGGCTTCAACTTTCTCATTTTACGCTCGTAGTCTCTGCCTCCTGGCACACGATTCTTCGTATTGTGGCCCTGAACTAGCGAGTTCCAGATTTGGTCATCAGTGACATCAAGCCCATTCTTTATAGCCTCATCGCGAAGAGCAACAATCGAGCCTAAAATAACACAACAAATTTGCAAACCGCTCGTAGTCACCCACTCCGTCACAATTTTTAATTAATTTTTAGATATTCTAAACTCCATTGTAGTTCCGTCGCAAATCTACGACAACCGTTGCTCCGTATCAGATTTCCGTTACAGTTTTGACAGATTCTTGTAGTGCCTCCTCTTTATCAATGATCCAATTCATCCGGATGTTCGTACTTCAGACTGTATAATTTAATTGTTACTGATACTGGTAATCTAACTCCTCACAACCAATGATCTAATTCATTCAGATATTTATACTCCAAACTGTATAACTTAATTGTTATTGATACTGGTAACCCAACCCCTCTCTATTCTTTCTTTTAACAACTCCATTTTGATGAGGTATTCTTGGAGCCGAGAAGTTGTGAAATTCATGCTCATCACAATATAGTTCAAATTTGGAATTGCTATATTTGCCCCTTTTATCATTTTTTTGATTGAAGCAATTGGTTATCTTTTCTCGTTTTGAATTTTCTTGCACAATTTAACAAACGCATTAGACACATCATATTAAAACCGTTTCTATTGATTTGAAAGAAGTCATGTTATTTTACCAGAGGAGTGTAGTTACAAAAATGCCACCGAATTATTATATTTTGTCAAAAATACCATTATGTTTTATTTTGTTACTATATAGCCACTAAACTTTTTATTACCTGTAAAAAGTGTTTAAGTAACCTACTAGTGCAGGTTAAAACAAAAAATTTAATAGATGGAACTAAACTATTTGTTTCAAAAGTATTACATTTTTTATTTCTAAATATGAGAGAAGATTTTTTATTTCTAAATATGAGAGAAGATTCTATTTAAAATATTACCTTTGTAGACTTTGACTTTCTTTAGTCAATCTGGATGAACTTTAGACATCAATTAAATAAAAATTATAATGTATATTATTATAAAAGTAATTTTCTTATTAGATTTATCAATAGTTATTGATTATTAAAGTTTGTTTAATTCAAATTGAAAAGGTCAAACTGAATGAATATATTAAGATAGAGAGAGTATAAAGTTATTACTCTTATGTCTTTATGCAATTAGTTAAAAAATTTCTTTTTAAGTTTATATTTTGTCTCGAGTTTTTTTTTTCTATAAGAGTTTTCTTTACCTTTTCAACTAATTTATTCTTTTTTTATTCTTTCCATTCACTAAAAATGTCATTACTAGCACTTAACTTGTGCAACGTACAAATTTTGATTATATATAAATAAAAGCTGAATTGTATATTTGTTCACAAAATATCTAAAAATTTATTTCATTTTATTAATATGTTATGCAGTTTTTTGTACTTAACTACTCCGTATTAAAAATCATCTACTTTGATTAAAAAATGTAAAACATGAAAAATATTTTGGAATATTGGGAATATTTTCACTCTAGTTCTTATAATTTATTAGTCAATTCGTTATTTAATTATAAAAAGAAATATCAAATGAAAACAATATCATGCATAAAAAATTTTGATTAAAAAAATTGAATTCTTAATAAAATTTAAAAGAAAGAACTTTGTTGGGATAGAAAAAGATAGCCAATAAAATTGATTTAAAAAATTGGTTTAAAATAAAAAACAAAGTGTGACAGTTTTACCAAAAAAAATAGTTTAGTCGCATATTTCTTTTTGTTTAAATATGCACTAACAAGTTACAAGTTAAGACGGTGACATTTTTAATAGGTAATGGAAAAATAAATTACAATTTAGTAACAAAAAAAGGAAAAAGACTAAAGTAAGAGTAAAAATTGAAAATATACTAAAATAGGACTTTCATATTTTTATTCTCGAAATAGGAGTTAAAATGTATTTACATTACCAAATATGGTCATGTAAATTACCAAAAAGTATAGTAATGTGCACATGTACAGTGTCACATTACAACCATATTACCACAGTGCGAAGTCCTATTTCGGGAATAAAAGCATGGAACTCCTATTTTGATATTTTTTTCTATATTTTAGTGGGAAATTTCTATAACAAAAACAAGATGATGACATTTTTGACAAAATATAATAGTTTAATAAGTAAAAGAATTCTTTATAAACATGATTTATTACTTTATTTTCTTTCTTTTTACCTCAAGAAGCCTACGAGCTTGCCTTATCTCCTTGCGCTTGCCTGTCGTTCCACCACTGAAGCCTGCCTCCCAACACGCAGCGGCCTCGTCAAAGAGCAAGCAAAGGTTAGGAAAGCGGAGTCGCCGGAGAGAGAGTTGTTTTGAGTGTGTGTAATCCCTGCAGCCGAGCCCTCCATTTATAGGAGAGCAATATGACTCTTCATACGTGAGTGCATGCATGCCTTTACTCCGTACAATTCGTTAATACTTCGTTATTAACGAATTGTACACGCGTGTATAGTAATGTGCACATGTACGGTGTCACATTACAACCATATTACCACAGTGCGAAGTCCTATTTCGGGAATAAAAGCATGGAACTCCTATTTTTATATTTTTTTCTATATTTTAGTGGGAAATTTCTATAACAAAAACAAGATGAACTTCTCCCCTGGCTTGAGTGGTAGCAAGCCCACTCCCCAGGATTCATGGGGAAGTTTACTCAGGTTCGAGCCCCAGCGAAGGCAGCAGCATTGGCTCTTTGTGCGTCATTAGTCATTAGCTTGAGAATTGTATGAACAGATACTACCTTGTAATAGAGTCAATAGCATTCAAAAAAAAAAAAAACAAAAACAAGATGATGACATTTTTGACAAAATATAATAGTTTAATAACATTTTCTTAAGAAATATTTGTACTAAATAATGAAATAAAAGAAAGAAAAATGGAGTTCTTCGGATGCTCGAACGGAATAGAGGAACGCGAACGGACAGCAAGGTGGTGACTTCGGACGGAGGGTTGTGCGTCGCCGGAGCAGTTTCTCGAAGCAAAGGTTAGGAAAGCGGAGTCGCCGGAGAGAGAGTTGTTTTGAGT